CTCTCAACCCCTCACCCCCACAAACCCCCCATCCAGGTTGCGGAGGAAGGTTCACTCGCAACACCCCGCGTGGCATCATCAAGTCCCCGGGCTACCCACAGAACTACCCGGCAGACCAGGAATGTACCTGGCGAGTCAACGTGAGACCGGGCAAGACCATCGCGGTCAACTTTGCCACCCCCTTCAACATCGCAGACACCGACAACTGCAACAATGATTATCTTCTGGTCAGTGAATGAACGAATGAACGAAAGAACAAATGAACAAAGGAATGAATGAATGATTGAAAATTTGAGTAAAAATGTATACCAATTAAAAACAATTGAAGAAGTAAATAAATAAATGATTCAAAAACAGTAAAAGGAAGCTAGAAAGAAACTATGAAAAGAAGTTAGAAAGAAAGAAAGAAAGAAGGAAAGAAAGAAGAAAAAAAGAAAGAAGAAAGAAAGAAACGTCATCATAAACCCAAATGGCATTATACATCACACTAGTCTATCAACTGATTGCATTCACTCAGAATAATAATAATAATTTGACATTATGCAGTTTGCTACCTTAGAATTGCAATGTTTTATCAGATGTTTTTAGCTGTTCTGAGTTACTGTCACCATGAGGTCAGAAATCAAATCTGCTCCATAATAATAATAAATAGCATTTGTATAGCGCATATCCCCGCTCAACAGAAGGCTCTATGCGCTTTACACTATATTATTACCAGCAGACCATAGAACACTCCGAAACATTCTCAGTTTCCCGGGAAGCATACAGTGCAAGCAGCTGATTAAGCGCTCAAACACTAACAAACTGACAAGATCTTTCGCTGTCAATAGCCAGGTACCCATTCCCACCTGGGTGAAGTGAGGAAAATTCGTGTAAAGTGCCTTTCCCAAGGACACAACGTTGGGTCCCTGACGGGATTCGAACCCACGACCTTACGGTTGCGAGTCTGAGAGCCTAACGATTGTTTGGTCACTTTTTACCCCCATCCGTACACCCTGGGGGGTTTTTTTACCTCCGGGTTGTATTCTACATATTTTAGAATACTTCTAGTATGAAGATCTCTTTGAAACTTTCAGTATTTCTCAAAAAATCATTTTGACAGACTGCTATTCAAAGTGTGCGGATCGGATTAATGAGTAAATTTCCTCTTGGAAAGTGGTGGCTCAGAGTTCCCCACGTCATGTGGATACGATAGTAAAACACGACGTACGGATAGAGTTAAAGACAAGTGGGCTAACCCAGATTTTGGGGGTTTCCAGAAATCTTTCCCTACACCAAAAGTGGGCTTTGCCCTACATATTGGAGAAGTTTGGTTTCGTTGGTGTGTAGTGTGTATATTTGTTTGGTTATATAGAAAACTCTCCTTGTTTTTTTAAGAAACAGAATAAGGGACAAAAACTTTACCTTCGATTTTCTCAAAACAGCATTTTTCGGGATAGCCCCCTTGTGCTTAAAAGCGATCATTTAAAAGCAATCATTTAAAAGCGATCATTTGGAGCCGAGCGATCATTTGGAGCTGTTGTCAAGATATTCAAAGAATTGCATTCGAAAAAGCTTGACTTGTTGTGAAACTCAAAATCCTTGACATCAAATTTCTCAAAATGAAGTACTGAGCAGATAGAACTTCGTAATTCTGAGGTAGCGAGTGGCGTATGCCGTAAAACTGTTACCAAACCAAAACCCAGCACTCATGTCACCTTATGAAGTTGTGTACGATGTAACGATGTAAAACATTTACCAAACTGAAAACAAAACCAAAACCTAACGACTGATGCCTCCCCCCTCCCCCCCCGCTCCTTCCCCCCAGGGCAGTGCTACTGACTGAAGTTGTCTTTAGGCCAATCCCAAAGGGGGGATATTAACATGTTCTTATGCACAGTAGAATTGTCAAAGGGCTGAATTATCAATGGCATGCTCATACTGTGCCGGAACAACATAGGGGGAACTGCTGCTATTTCTTTCCTCATCCTTATTATCGTCATTTTCCCTCTACTTCTTTTGTATGCTTGTCACTCTCTTGTGAACTGCTATGTCTGGGGTGCCTTGATAGTCCAAGCAGACTTTGTGCTGTTGTGTTGAAGCTAGAGAGGTGAGCAGAGTAAGCCTGATCCCCCATTTGGACTTCTCTGTTGACTTCCACCCCTTGGCGGTCATATGACCTTATGCAGTTGCGAGCGCTGTAAAACCTTATTATCTATCGTCTCTACCTCCCTCCCTTATGTTTGCTACTCTCTTGTAACACCTCCAATCTTCGTCACTTATGTGACCTTATTGTGTTGCAAGTGCCGTAAAACTCTTACTGAAACTAAACTAAAGCCTTACCAAAACATTCCTATCAGAGACGCACGTTAAACTAGGAGGTCCCGCCCCTTAAATAACCTAATAGTGTTGATGGGGGTGTTAAACCCATACCATTTTTTCCTTACTAAAGCAAAACAAATAACGACTTACGTTGGGTTTCCTCAGCTGCTGAATGGTAGGTCTCTCACCTCCCCACCCCTCTACAACAACAGTGCCAACTACACCGGGCGTCTGTGTGGTTCTGTTCGACCCAGCAACATAGAGACAGACGCCAACAACCTCTTTGTCAAATTCGTCGCTGACCAGAGCGGGTCCGGTGCTGGGTTTTCGTTGAACTTCACCGAGAGATCTGTTGCTTGTGGTGGCACGCTGTCTCTCACACGAACCATGAGTGAAGGGTGAGTGTTTTGTTCTTGTTGTTGTTGGTGTTGTTGTTGATGGTGGTGGTGGTGGTGGTGGTAGTGGTTTTATTGTTGTTGTTGGTGGTGGTGGTGGTGGTGGTAGTGGTGGTGGTGGTGGTAGTGGTTTTATTGTTGTTGTTGTTGTTGGTGTTGTTGGTGGTGTTGTTGTTGTTGGTGGTGGTTGTTGTAGTGGTGTAGTTGTTGTTGTTGTTGTTGTTACTGAGAGATCTATTGCTTGTGGGGGCGCACTGTCTCTCACACAAACCATGAGCGAAGGGTAAGTGTTTTGTGTTGTTGTTGTTTTTGTGATGGTGATGGTGTTGTTGTTGTTATTGTTGTTTTTGTTGTTGGTTTTGTTGTTGTTGGTGTTGCTGTCATTGTTGTTGTTGTTGGTGATGATGTTGTAGTTGTTGTTTTTGTTGGTGTTATTGTTGTTGTTCTCTCTCTCACACGTATCACGAGTGAGGGTTGATGGTTTTGCTGTTGTTGTTGGTGGTGGTGTTGTTGTTGTTGTTATTGTTGTTGATATCGTCATGAAATTTAAGACAAAGAGTTTTTTGACATTTCAACTTAACAGATTTTTTTATCGTCCCATGTAACATAAAAGCTTCATAGAAGATAGTTTGTTTGTTCCCGATGCCATCTATATGATTAACCCTATCCGTACGTCGAGTTTTACTGTCGTATCCATACGACGTGGGGAACTCTGTGCTACCACTTTCCAAAGAGGAAATTTACTTGTTAATCAGATTCGTATGCTTTGCATAGCAGTCTGTCAAAATGATTTTTTGAGAAATACTCAAAGTTTCAAAGAATTTTCGCACTAGAAGTATTCTAAAATGTGAAGAATACAACCCCGGGGGAACATAATGACCCCAGGGCGTACGGATAGGATTAAGCTTTTAGCTTTTTACCTGAGTATATAGACTGAAACAGTTGAGGAACAGTTTGAAAAATTGAGTATCATGTAATATTCTGTCCTCCAGATTTTTCACTTCGCCGAACTACCCCGAGGTGTACCCGCACAATGTGGACTGCCTGTGGGTGATTCTGTCGCCCGCCAACACCAGAATCCGGCTCGACTTCGTGGGGAATTTCAGCATCGAGAATCATCCCGAGTAAGTAATGATATGATATGTGTCACAACGCGATGGAATCAGGCGCTTGTCAATTTTTGGGTATGTGGAGCTATTGGTATCATCTGAAAGCTGATTTATTTGCCTTGCTACCGATGAAATGAATGTCAATTTATCGTGAATAGAACTCAAGATATTTTTGCGATTGAAGGAAGTGAGGTCGCAGGATTTCTGAGGTGGAAAAATGACATATTTTGTGCCTGAAATCAATACTTGTTTACTTGTGTGAAGGACCGACATCACTGCACAAGGGGCATTCCCATAAGCGCTCCATCCCCCGAAGAAGCACATCTCGAAGTGTGTAGATGCTGATGGTTCCAAGCAATGGTTGATTCCATAGCCTTCTGCTCCTCCCATTAAGTCTTGAACTTCTGCAGGCGCCTCATCCGATTCCAAGCTCACGAAGTCGCTCAAGATGATGGTATTCCGTCTCTTCTAGTTCTTTTTCTCTTTTTTCCTTGACTGAACGTACAATTTCATGTTTGTCAGGGCACAGCTTCCCTTCTGATTTTGCTTTCCCAGCGAGCTCATCAATGCCTTAAATCAATGTTTTCCCAGTAAAATTCACATGGAAATGTGCTTTTATATAGACATAAAAGAGATTAACACTTTGCAGTCACACAGCCAGCAGCACAAAATACCCTATCTGGTCACCCAGTCAGGAGAGTGACTGTAACGGACTGATCGAGCCTGATGCAGAACTGCGCCAGGTGACCGGAACGGGTAATTTTCACCAGCGCATTATTGCACTAAGTGACTACAAAGTGATAAGCCAATAAATAAAAATTCAGTAAAAATTTCCAAACTGGTGGGAAAATGCGTGTTTCTCTGATTTCTGTATTTTGATGAACGCCTGATTTCACCATGATGCCTCACATGTCCACATGTAATTATTGTAACTATGGAGGTTTCACGTCCCAATCCTCACTATTAGGCTCTCGGACTCGCAATCATAATGGCATGAATTCGAATCCCATTTCTGGTCCGATGCTATGTCCTTGGGAAGCGCATTTTACATGGATTTTCCTCACTTCATTCAGGTCGGAATGGCTACCCAGCTGTACTCAGAGAAAGATCTTGTCAGTTTGTTAGTGTCTGAACTTGTGTAGGCCGCAGCTTGGGCTGTGTGCTTCCTGAGAAGCTGAGAATATTTCTTAGTTTAGTTTTAGTAGAGGTTTTTTGGCACTCGCAACTGCATAAGTTCATATGAGCGCCAAGGGGTGGATGTCAACAGAGAAGTCCTTACGGGGAATCAGACTTACTCTGCTCACCTCTTTAACTTCAACAGCACAAAGTCTACTTCGACTATCAAGGCACCCCGGAAACAGCGGGTCACAAGAGAGTGACAAACATTCAAAAGATGTAGAGGAAAATGACGATAGTAAGGATTAGGAAAGAAAATGCAGCAGTTCCCTGTAGCAGTTCAGGCACAGTTTTGAGCATGACATCGATGAATCAGCCCATTGACAATTCTACCGTGCATAAGAACAGGTTAATGTCCCCCTTTGGGGATGGCCAAAAGACACTTCAGTTAGTAGCACCGCCCCGGGGTTTAAGATAATATTTTTGTGTGTTTTTATAGGGTCTGTTCAGAATATGAGCTATATCACTGCAATTATTATTATTATTTAAGAGGCAGAGTGCTTTTATTCTAAAGTGGATTTTCTGCGTGATATTTTGGCGCTTGGAAACAGCAGAATCTGCTTGGACTTTGTGTGGGTAACTTCAGCATAGAGCACGGGAGGTTGGCGGGTGCTCTGGTGGTGTGATTTGCCTGATCATTTTTATCTTTTTTTGTTTTTGTTTCTCTATTGTAACCCCCTAATCCCCGTCACTTTTATGACCAACATGTGTTGCTTTTTCATCCCCCCC